GTGTGTGTGTGTGTGTGTGTGTATATATATATATATATATATATATATATATATATATATATATATATATATGTAGAATATATATATATATAAACAATAGGATACAATAGACCTCTTCTCAAGTACGGTTGTCTCAGCTAGGAAAAGTCCCTAGTCTGAGGGTTATTCAGGTCCCAGGCCTAGGCTAACCACCTAACCCACCACTAACACCCCTAGGATTCTACCCACAGGCCAACACCCCTAAAGTTCCACCCACAGTCCATCACAACCCCCCACTAGGATAGTTAACATAATTCCTTATGCAACTTATCATAGCCAGAATGTGGGTAGTTTTATCTACACTATATACACTATACACGAGAGATGCTTACATCTCCAACCCCTCGTGGAGGATGGAGTTCTTCATCCCTCACCTCAATGGTATGAGGATTTCACAACAAAGCAAGCACTATAACGAACGTCGCGACGGCAGTCCGATCCATCCACTGCTATCTGTAGTTCACCCCAAGCCTGCAGACGCCTCTTCCTGTAGAACGCCGACTGTGCACGAGCAAATCCATTTAAGATCTTCTCCTTAAATGCATCACGGCTCTTTTTCAGCGGTAACACCTGCTTCAACAAGACCTGATAGTCCTCTCCAAGCACTTTCTTTCCGTCTTCACCGTCCACCAGTGGCGCAATGAATGGTAGATTCGCCTCGTCGCACCACAACTCCCAGCGTACCTGCCCAAGTTCTCGCCTGCTTCGTACGATGCATGGCATGATCAAACGCTTGACGGTAGCCATCCTGCCGCTCAGTCAGAGGCGAATGATGCATTAACCACTCCTCGTACGGGCTATGTGGGCGATACTGCACCACAGAGCGCTGTTCCTCTTGCTCCGAGAGCTTTTCAACATGCGGTTTCAACTCTGCCCGTAAGAAGGTACGGTGAGATCCATCAGACATCTCAACCGTATGCGTCAAAGGTGCTTGAACCGCCACTACTCGCGCCGGTCCACCCCACCGCGATGACAGGTCATGCGACTTCCCTCGCAGCCGATACCAGACCCTCGAGCCGACTGCCAGCAGAGGGACATCCTCCCGTCGGACATAAGCTCTCGTCTGCTGTTCCAGTTGAGCCCGCCTGTCCCTGACCGCTGCTACTGCGTCACGGACCATCGCTTCAGTGCCTTGTTCGGAGTCCAACAAGGATAGCACCCTGTCCTGTAGCTCCAAACTCTACTGGCCAATAAAGTCCATGACAAGGTCCCCTTACTGGAAGTTTACATATTTCTGTTGGGATTTTCGAGTGCTTAGGTCTCCCGCCTCGTGCGCTGTTTGTGGCTCGCTGATTTTTCAGCAGTTCTCGTTGTCGCTGGCTACTTTGGCCTTGACTGCCTTCTTTTACGTCTCTGGCGTTAACGGTATGTTGTAATGACATCAGCATCTGCGATGTCTGATTCATGCGTCCAGGTACGCTCATCATCTGTCCATTGCGGTAGGTACTCCTGGGATCCATCACCTCGGAGGGCCGGCCTGTCGTCGACTATCAAGGACAACTGAGTCTCTTTGTTTGGTTGTACGTTATTGTTGGAAGTAAATACCTTCGGAGCATTGGCCCTTTTTACGAGGCCAAGTAGTTCATCACTGATCGAGTCAGGATATTCGGGTGCTTTAGCCCCATCAAGGTTACAGACTAATTACTCGTTGCCCTCCCTGCATACTATTTTGTATGGTCCGCCATTTGGTGCTGTTAACTTGTTCGTTTCACCTTGATAGCGGACCACGACAAGGTCCCCTTACTGGAAGTTTACATACTTCTGTTGGTATTTTCGATCGAATGCTGCTCGCATCTTCTCTTGATACTGTGCAACATTGCTCTCTAGTTGTGGCCTAATGGCTTCTTCTAGATTATGGAGTCGCTCTTCCCAAGGTACTGTTGTACTGGGTGCAGTCACTGGCTCATTGTAGTCCGTGAGCTGATTCTATCTGCGACCAAAGTATACATTAAAGCGCGGAGACTTGTGTCTTCTGGATGTACGCAGATTATGGCCCATCTGTACGAATGGAAGTCCAAGTTGTGGTATTGCCCAATAATGTTGACATGTGTCTCCTATTCTGTTGCCTGGGGCGCGTCTCCAGAGTGAACTGGATCTGACGCTGCCATGTGTATAGCAGGTTGTTTCCGCGTTGAATCGAAGTATGGAGACTTAGCTCCTATCTTTGCGACTAATGTGACACCCCATGGGGTCTTGCCACTAGCCTTCTTGCCCTCTTTGAGGAACGATTTTTTTTTGTGTTTTCCACTAGCATCGGGTCTTCTTCTAGTAAAGACAAGCACTTTGGAAACCACGAGGCATTGGGGTAGTATGCTACACATATCGTGATGCTGACTGCCTCTTCAATGACTTTGTCAAAGACATCAGGTATGAGTTCCCATGGTGGATTCGCCCATGCATTCACTTCCTGCGCCCATTTTTGTTGTAGCGCATCCTGTTCTTTGGTGTATAATTTATCTGTGTGCGCATTGTGTACCGATGCAAACAGATCTGCTGTGAACTTCCCAAACCTTCGTTCTGCTTCTTGATAGAATCTGGGGGATAACACCCAGTCTATGGCCGATATGGTTATGGGCATGTTCGTTTCCAAGGTGGTGTACTCTTGGCTATTATGTGTTGCCTCATTCGCCTTTTGTAATACTTTTGACTGTTTAGTACTAAAGGTATCTTATGGAGACATGACATCATGTCTGCCATCTGGTTGTCCTTGCCTGGGACATGTATGGTGGAGAAGTGGTGGTGGAACGTTTTCGCTATACATTTGGCTAGAATTGGGTGTGTAAAC